GAGGCTTCAGCTGCAAAACGATACTCGGAGAAAGACATTGAGCATAGAATTCAAGCAAAAGGAGATCATCTTAGGGAACATACAAACGACTACACTCTGAAATTAAACTCAGCGAGACACTCAAAAAAGAAGAGTTAGTAGAGGAAATAAAAAGAGACTTACGGGGCTCCCACATCAGGCTGTTATGAGCTGCCTTAAAAAACGAGTGCTTGACAGACCTATGGAGTCGGCCTTAATCCTGTTTTTAAAATAAGCACCGCAGTACCTGACACCTCACTTACAAGGTATGTCCTAGGAGTGGCCCTAAAGGAGAAAGAAAATCTAGGGTGGCCAAAAAAGCACCAGATTAAGATCAGATCCCACCGAAAGCTGTCAAGCTTTTCGTTGAACAGAAATCTGAACTCTTCAGGGACCTAGTAAATAGGTTGCTGATAGAAGACCGTGATCCAAGATCACGGGAACCCACAAACAGAGTATGTAGCTGGTAAGGCCAGAAGAGTGGTAACCGACCTCGTAGGTGTAATACCAAGAATAGGATTGGCATAAGGAGACCCTATACTGCGATTAGTTTCAGTAGCTAAGTCAGTTCTTTAGAACCCCTCTCCGCTACGGGAAAACATGGCCCTAGGCTCTAGGAAGGACAAAACGACCCTGCCGGCTGCCTATAGGATATTTTCTATTAAAGTGACTCGAGCCTTCGAAACAATTATCATTGCCGCCGCCATAATGCTGGCCAATGTTTTCGTGTAACATACGACCGATCGAGAACATGCATGATCATGGCCAACACACATTTCTACTTTATTTATCATTTCGTATCATTTCTGTCATCTCCTGAATTTATAAATCTAACGTAAGTGTGTCTTTAATGTTGAATTGTCATATCCGATGCATTTCCATTACTTTATTAGCAAAAGCTGCTTTTATAAAACTTCTCTCCACAGGTACTGTGAAGCTTCCTCACTTTTATCAGAAACTATGAATTTATATCTACACTGGTATGCGTCTTTGATTGATTATATATGTGTATATTTTTAGGCCAACAGATAACACCGCAGGAATGCTCCCAGCTAGTACAAAAGTGGACATCAACGTTCAAGTATTAAATAACCCCCATAAAGGTATTTCCTTTACTTTATCCCTAACTGCCAAATATACTGTATCCTTATTCTGCGCCAGCAAGTCGTTATGAGCAAAACGCAATTAATCTTTTCGTATCGGAAAAAAATTTAGAGGAGAATACACCATTGTTATGCCGCTATGATTTCACTTCGTCTGAAGAAACTAAATCTTTGATCTTGTGCGTAGACCATGGGGAAGACTTCCCACCACCTTTAATAAATCGTATAGCAGACTCCTCATATCTCCTAAATTCGACTGAGGATTTGCGTAGAACTGTACAAGACTATAAAAGACGAAAATGAGTATTCCGCGCAACTCGGACCTTCTTATTTAGCTTCCCTGGACGATTAGGTGTATTGAACTCTATATTCTTTTAAAAAGATTTGAATAATTGTTGGTTTATTAGATCGCTATTTCCATGGGATGCAAACAACATCCTCCAGAATTCGAAGATGTTCGTTTTTAGTGTTAGCCGCTATTAAATCATTTTTGTAGCTGAAAACATTAGAGAATCGAGGTAGAGTCAGGTTTATTGTTTTCTGATAATGGGTTACATATCCATTACATCCCTTAGATGTACGGAAGAAATGAATAGTTCCTTGTGAGTGCCTATACCCAAGTCGCCCTCATTCTTCGACCGGTCGGTGCGTATACCCCTACCGAAAATCAACAATCGAAGCTATTGTTACGCAGTTACGAGCATGCTAGCCATTTATGGCCTAGGTTCGTATCCGTCGGTGCAAGCCGGTTCGCCTTTATATATCCGCACAAAGTGACTTTTCCTTAAACTGCGAGCGATACAAACCTTTCGATGCAGTTGTAAAGGATATCTTGATTGATGACTGTAAATATTTTGATCTCAATGATGCCGGATGTACACGATTTTGTCTAAGTTAGCTGACCGCATAGCCACGTTACGTGATTATCGCAGAAACTTGTTCTGCCTACTTAGGAGTGCGCCATTTAAACTAAAATTGCCAAGATAAAAATATCGTCTCAACCGATACAACCGAGAGTCTGAGCGTGCCGCCTGTCATTGCAAATACCGAATGAAAAGCACGGAAATTGTATATGCCGGAATATACCCTTTTCCCAAGAAGTAATGTTACGAGAAACAGGTATTTCAAAGTGGTCGCCTGGATGCACCATTCATAAACCGCCACCTAGAGGCGCATGTTACACAGATTACTGTTAATCACCGAAAAACCAAGACTAGGTTCAATTAAGAATACACCATAAAGAAAATAACGATACCACAGGTAACTAATATTCAACGGCCAATGAGTCACGAAAGAGACAGCAATGAGAATTTGGAAATTCTCTTGGATGCTTAAACAGATTATACTCTAGTCTGTAACGTATTCAGGTGGACCCCAAAGGAGTTAGCATACCTCAGATCCGTGTTTGGTGCGACTCACCGCATGTTTCCTACCAGTCTTGGAATCGACATAGTTTCTGGTAAAAGAGCGAACTTGACAGCTGGAAAACCATGTACCTCATTAAAAGCACTAATAAAGGTACTTTACATAAATACAAATGAGACAGGAATGTTACAAAATATCTATTCCATAAAGTAGTCAAATAATCTAAAAGTTCAGAGAACGTATGAGTCAGCTTGTGAAAAGGTGCACATAAGAGGACTTCAAAAAAATTATGCTCAGGAATGAACCGATCTTCGAAGCGCGTTTAAGTATGGCCAAACAGGCGCTCTTTCGTAAAGAGGACTATAAGAAATTAACAATGGACCAGGTTACACGTATAGTGAAACCGTACGAACATAATGAATGTGCACTATCGAACAGACAAGGGATAAGCCGCTAAAGTGCGATCGAATGATGTTGCTGTAATACGTCGAGGCGCAGAACAATATCATAAAAGAGGCCAAAAACTAGAAATAAAAACTGTCAAAAAAAGAAAAAATAAAAAAAATGTGTCGAAATTGTGAGCGCCTACATTCTCCACAAAGGTGCCCAGCCGGGGAGCAAACGTGTAGTGTGTATAAAAAACAGAATCACCGCGCTCATATCAAAACAGAAGTACAACGTCAAACTAGTACAGGATGGGGACTCAAACTATGGTAGGTTCGAAACTTTTTTGGCCAAACGTGGCCAAGTAGCCGAAACGAAAGCTCTAGGTCCCAGAAATGTTTCCCAGAAATAAACAGAAAACAGCAATTCGAGCACTCCTTGATGCGAGAGGCACCTGGAACGACATAAACCGGGGAATTTTTCAAAGCCTGAAACCGAAACAATCGATCAGCGTTGGAAATGTTCCACCACTCACAAGTAATCACGATGGGATCGATCACGGCGCCGGTTAAAACAAGCAAAAAAAAAACAATTAAATTCTCGTGTTATACGTGAAAAGGTTGAAGCGTGCCTACCGGTGAATACATGCCTCGAACTGGAATTGATAGAAGAGTTGTTTCAATGTTAAAGTGTTTAAAAAGATAAGAACCGCCTGGAAACACTAGTCAGGAAATACGAATGGAGCCTTCCAAGGTCTAGGTCGGCTGTCATAGCCGGTTCAAAGTCCACGTTAAGCAAAAAGCCGGAGAACTTTAGAAGCCACCGCTAACTCCACTTGTTGCTTTTATGCAAGCTATTGTCGATCGGGTCAGAGAACTGGAAGCGCTCGAAAACATTTAAGGGGTAAACCAACTTACAGAATGGATGTCAGATCTCGTCATTACACATTTTTCTGGCCGTAAGTTAAGAATTGTTTTAGACCTGCATATATATAATAAAACTATATACAAGACACGATATCCCATGCCTGCGCTAAATGACAGATTATCGCCTTACCAAAGCGAGCATACTTTTAAAAACATGAATCTTACCAAATGGTACTAAAAGTGGAGAGGCGTCACAGGGAATAGCATCAACGCCTGAAGAGTATCAGAGAAAATAGGTACAAGCTTACGTGGAGCTCACAACTATGGGCGTGGTAAAGGACGGTACAATAATGTGGGAAAATAGCAAAACACTAGTGTCAGATTCCGTTGCTGTATATTGACTTGTACCATGTACTAGTTCAACACAGGCAAATCTAGTGAAGCCGAACAAACCAACGATGCACCAGGGTGCGGCTCGCAGATGTATATAGTGATGCTCTTACTAGATCTTATATCGGTCCGATAAGCGGCAATAGGCGCTCATATGCGATGAGGAATGCAAAAAACACAACAAAAAATATATCGACCGGTAAAGACTGGCTCTTCTTAAAGAGAACGGAATACCAGTGTCATTACTCCACGCACTCACGCAGGGCAGCCACCTGTGGTGCCAAAATGCTCAACCAGGGAAACCACAGCACGAAAGAGATCGCGTATCGTAAACTTAAAAACCCCTACGATACGTAATCCAACGCAAAGCGGAGTTTGAATTACTGCGCAGTGTTCGAAAAATCTATAGCAAACGCACGACTGCGATTCTCTATCGTTCACCAATAAGTCAAGTGTTCATCGTACGACTCTTGTGCTGTCAATATCTAAAATATTAACAAATAATCTTGTGTTATTATTTCCCTTTTAGAGTACTTTATTTCGTTTCCTTTTTTGTGTGCAGTTCTTACTTTCGAAGCTGAAGCGTATTTAAAAACGGACTGAATGGATGCGTTCAGCCCGTGCCTCCGGGGCAAAATACTAAGCAATAACATGACACAGCGTCGATGCATAGTTGTTTTTTGTTACAGTCCAGATTCTCGTAGAGTGATTTAGCGATATCTTTAAGGATTACGGCTTTTAGAAGAAGAATTTCCTCAATAAATTATATGGATGTTTAACTGATTTCACGCACTGGCATATACCTATACACGATGACACGAGACACTTCATGAGTAACTAACAGTAACATTAGAATCTTGTTATTGGGTTTTACCTCAAGTGAGTCGCAGCGACCCGTGCACGTATGTATCGTGAGTGTATCCCAGCATTGCCTTCCATCGAGCATATATGTATACCAAGAAACCTGAAGATGATAAAGACATTTAAAGCAGAGCTAAATTAAACGACTTGTTGTTGATCCCTTTCTGATGCAGTGATGCGTGTTATTATTGTAGAATACTGCGACCTGCGCTGTGAAGTTTGAGAACCATAATTAGGTGCAAACCTGAACCATAGTTTTTCTTACAAGCCTCTATTTATGCTAATTTACTGAACTAACTTGAAATTAGGATTTTTTTTTCGCATCTAACATTATTGGTGAACATGCCTGAAGAACAATACTTGATTTGTGTTGTTCAGATTACTTGTCTACACAGTTTATTTAAAAAAAAAAAAAAAAAAAGAAAAAAAATGCGTGTGTCGCAAAGGTCCTGCTGTTTTGTTCAGTAGCATTCATCTTTGAAATTAGTTGATTGAAGGTAAATATTATTAACGAATTAAGTAAGTAACAAATGAAATTAACTGCCCCTGACCTTTAGCTTTTAAATGGGACTGCTAAAGAACTCTTATTTTGGTTGGGAACTCTGCGTATAGACAGGTATTTTATTTATTCTTTGATCTGGTATCGACTACCGTAACGTCAACCGAACGACCTTGACTAGCCTATGCAAGGCTTATTTAAAAAATATTAAAAAAAATTATAATAACTGGAGGCAGTCCTCCAGTTATTAAAAACCGTTCCTCATATTCTCGTTTTGCGGAAACGCCGTCTTCATACATGGTACCAATAAATATATTTTTTTGCACTTGTATGTTTCTCCATTATATATGCACAAGCCAAGGTATCTAATTTTTCAACAGTATTCTTAATTTTATAATACTATCGAGTTGCTGAGCTGACAATTTCTCCAAAATAAATACTCCAAAAAAATATGTATATCTCGCTATGGCGTCTCACGTTTTTACTGGAATTAATTTCTTTTCTACTTGGGTTTATGGCCCTTTAGGTTTTACTGCTGTTTTTGAATCTTTGTTTCTGCAATAGAGTTTTTGTGGACATTTTTGAGAAGACATCCCCTAAAGGAGTTGCATATTTGGCGAGGGTTCTGAGGTATTCAAGGAGTCTTGACTGGGTAAGCATATAAATCTATCTATGATCTGCTATTTCCGCTTTTCTATTATACTTTAATAGAAATATCGTTGAAATGTACTTAAAAAGTTTAGAAGGAGACGATAGCTGCCAAGAAAAATAACGACTCAATTTAAATGAAAACATTCCACTAGAGTAATGGTAATAAGATAACTGCATTATGCTGGAAAAATACCAGCGGTGTTTAACCCAATGTTGAACTTGAATGAAAAGTTTCCGTGCAAAAAATCTAATTCCGTTTTTCGATTGTGAATTATATTTCTAGATTTACGTGATACCTCCGACAAGCTGGCAAAATATCACGGTGAATTGTAACAGTGGGCTACGAATGAAGCTTTTTTTTGTGAAAAGGCCTAAATCCACACCTTAGCACAGGAATTTCGGGTATTTCCGCGCAAAAAAAATCCAAGTTCACTTTAATACATGCTGCTACCACAAGCTTGCACAATGCGCGAAGTCGAAATTCTGCTGCGGTCCGTTTACAGCGTTAGTACAAAGAAAGCTGTTATCAGGTGTTTGACACGCACAGCACACCGACATCATCAACAACAACAACCACGTTTCGTTCTTTCCAACATTATTTTGTGTGGGTTTCCACTGAAAGGAAAAGATAATTCTTTCGCAATTTTCAAAAAGAACAAATACTACAGCATACATAAAGTGATGCAGAATCTTCTTTTATAATTGCTGATATTGACTACAGTCGAGCGTCCATGTTCCGCAGGTTTCTGTAGAAAACTGCTCTAACCGCCGAACCACCGCTCCTAGCATCGCCACAAATTGTTCTTTTTCAAATTTAATATCAATAATGTTTCAAATTCTGCTGGACAGTGAGATACATACGAGTTTGAAGGAGCAGCTGGAATGAGCAAACTGGCATGAGAGTAAGCGCAACGTATTAAAAATGCTTTCATTTAAGTATAAGCATGTATGCTTAGTTGGTATTATTGGTCTAGAGATTTTTAGATGAACAACTCGCTGACTAAGTAGAAAGAGGCGACCATCTAGTTAGCGTGCTACGGCAATCGGTAAACCTTATATATGAATATCACTATTGTCAAATTTTATTCATCAATTAAGTCACTGTTCTGCGATTTAGACTATTGGGGGAACTGTATTAGGAAAATAGAGCAATGAAACCCAGGACGTGAATGCTAGGATAACTGTAGTAGGATAATTCCTTCATAGGTCAGAAGATCGTCTAAAAACAAAAAGCAATTGGCGGCTGTGTAAAGCTACTTTATAAGAACAATATTCGACCACTCTTAACATAGACGAATACGCTTTGCACATAATCAATATAATGTCCTACTCATTACCAGTTTGTTAACGTATTAAATGTACTTCTCCATATTCAAGCACACCCAGTAAGCGGCGTAAGGTGGACTAAAATAAAAATAATGAAATAACAGCGAGCTTCCGTGCGTAACTCAGGGTTTCATTTGTACTACGCATCGAAAATAATATTAGTTAAGTATCTTTCCAGGGACAGCTTTCATCACTCAACCCCTTCCGTAAAATCTTTAATTAAGGCTCTGCATAGTTTGCCATTAATTCCATCCGTATATCGTTTCGGCGTTTTTTCCTTCACCTAGCCAATCAAGGAAAAGTCAATAGGAGTTAAATCACAGGACCACACTAGCAACTTGGTGTTAGTACGCAACAAATCAGCCGCTTTGGAAATTTTAGCTTGCACGCAAAGGCTGTTGCACGCACAGTATACCAAGTTGTTTCGTATGGTTAAAACGTAATTTTTACGCATCACTGTTAGGCATTCCATCAGATGGTTAGCCCTTCCGAGCCCAGACCACAACGTGTGTTTAGGATTAATAGGCAAATACGTACTCACTAAGCTATCACATGAACTGGTCGTTTGCATCTGATAGTCTCGATTTGGTCCACAGAAAGGTTTGCAACACGTCAGATAGAGCTTGCCATTCCGTCATCTCGAGGTAAAGGGCCCAATGGCGGCTTAGCTCACTTGATTGAGTCACTTGGACCTTGTAGGAACAAACACGCAGCTATTGCTTTAATATGAGTCACATTGTCAAGCGTAACGCCAAGTTTTTGGATGAATATGGTCTCCTACCATAGTGACATTGTCGTCCGGTTTGAAGTCCTCCTGGCCTCATTTCAGATGCAAGTGAAATCCTTGATCAATCTTTTCAATGTTTTTTTCATAAATATTTTGTGTGAAACTTGCGAAATATCAGCGCACCGGATTTCCCCTTTCGACAATACGTTTTACGGTAGTTTTTCAATAGCACAAACCCTGCTTATTGCTCGGTAATCTGCTAGTCTTCGCCTGGTTACAAACACAGAAGAGAAGAACGAAAGGAAGTTCAGACCTTTAGTTCACCCTTTATCTCAATACAAGGCTACAAAAGGGGATTAGGCCACGACAGCTAGCAAGGCGTACTTCAATTCTATTTGCCAAGTTTCTAATTAAAAGCCTATGTGCACACATACGAGATTCAGAGTATCAAGATTTCAATCAACAGTAAATAAAAGCTTTACGGTTCCCAGCAGTAAAGCCGAAAAACGCCTATTCGAGACAGTTAGTGGGATGTATGGTCATCTCAAACTTTAAGGTGATAGGCTTGATGTTGGTTTAAAGAGCAAATAAGATCGTGTTTTATGGAATTAAAAATTAGGTCTCAAGCCAATGCAAGTTTGAAGTTAAGTGAAGGCCAAATAGAGGTACACACTACAGCTTTTGAAGGTAACAACATAAGTAACTCAATACCAACGTTATACTAATAAGAGGGATATCTCGTCGCATTAATCCAGTTTTATATTGATATATTTAATCAATTTCTAATTAGTATAACCCAAATATAAGAAAATAATACAAACGCTTTTATTGACTTTTTTTAATCCATCATATTGCCTACTTTCATCTCAGTTGTGTTTTTGTTGCGGAACCTTGCGTTGCTATATCTTATAAGTTTTTACGTATTCGTCGAAAAATGACGCATACCATATTGCCCACCGCTTACAAAGGCGCCATTTAGAAAACGCGCAAGCTTTAAAAACTAAACAACTTTTCAGTAAAAAATTGCTTTTCAAAATTTTCAGTGCAGGGACTGCCCAAAAAGGTAAGAGTTTTTGTGTTCAATTGCAAGCTCTTAAAAAATTAACTTGACTACAATTCAAATTTAGTGTATATCCTCAGCCATACGGCAATCAGATCTATCCTATCTAACCTATTTAGGCCATTTAGAAAACCCGCACTTAGCGAACGGCAAGCAAGATCTAGTATTAGACATATAAATAAGTAGATACATCGATGAAAGTAGATTCATTTGATTATGTATAGAAGGCCAAGGTAGCTACATAAATTGTGTGGTTTATGCCTTACATGTGGAAAGTTCGCCGAACGCCGATGAGCAGTGACAGCCTGCGTACACATAATCACCAGGATCTGAAGAGGCATAGTCGTCTTGGACAGCGATATTAACGAAGTCACCTTGGCAGGTACACCAGCGATCTTTATTCACCATCCTAACAGCATACACGCACACCGAAAACATATGAAACAAAGAAAACGTTGACATGTAGTTTTTTAATTACGCGCTCTGTGTGTATGTATATTATTAAACGTAAGTTTGCGTGAATATTCTACAGAGGTAGTCGAAATGAGAAATGTAAAGATGCTTGTAAAACCTTGTTTAAAAGTTTGGCCGTGGACCAACTAGTAGTCAAGCTTTTTTTTTTTGGAGATTAAGGGCAAATGCATTATGCAGACCAGACATCACTGAATTGTGCTTTATCCGGTACTGTGGGACTCTCACCCACTAAACCCTGGACCTGTTTATCAGCTTGGGTCATGGTTCGGGATATGTTTGATATTACTTCGAAACCATGACTTGCAGGAACGGTCATTTCATCACCCTTCCCTTTGAACCGTTCCAGTCCATCCTCCATTCTGGCTTTCCTCCTGACCAGATACGCTGGGTCTCGAGGGAAACCGTACTCCCTGTTCTCCCTTTAATACCAATTGTAGTGTATTTAAGCCCGTGATTGTTTCGGGCCTGTCCTTCTGTTATTCTCTTACGTCTCATCCTTTCAAGTTGTTCCTTTCTTTTCATAATATCATCAAAGAAGGCCGTAACTTTGGCCCAGGTCGTCCTGTCTTTTGTCATCATATCCACCATTCCCTTAGCACTGCCCTTTGTTGCGACTTCTCTGTGAACCTGCTTATCTCTGACCGCTTTAAGTACCTGGCAGTGAAGAAGAGTATGTTCTACTCCGTCTACAGGTGTCCACTTGCGTCTTGCCGATCTTTGTCATGTATGTCTGGAACTGTCCATGACCCGACAAGACTTGGCAGGAATGGTATGTTAGCTCTCCATGACTGCCGCGAATCCATTTCCTAACATCTGGTATTAGGTGTCGGGTCGGGTTCAACTGTCCGGAGATTCTCCTCGGCCGTTAGTGCGGGGATTTTCCCATTGCTGTTGCCATTTGTTTAACGTGGCCTCACGGGCCATTATGTTGTCGGTGTTTTCATCTCTTTGTCTTCGTTCGGCTCTTTTTATGGCAAGCAAATCCCATGGGACCATTTTGGCCAGTACTAGCAGTGCTTCAGTTGACACGGTTCTGTACGCTCTGGCCAGACGTATTGCGACTATTCTTTGAGCAGCGAGCAATATATCTCGGTTGGCTTTTGTCTTCAGCGCCATTTCTCTCATACAGGAGCTGCGTATAGTGCTCTAGCCTCAGTTACTCAGGCCAGTAGTCTTCGGCTACCCTCAGAGGCTTCTCCTACTCTGGGCAGTATTCGCGACAAATTGAGGGCTCTTCTTTCTGCCTTTGTAGCAGCATGTTTAATATGTTCTCTTCTAGTCGTTGCAGTGTCAATCATTACTCCGAGGTTTTTCGCCTTTCTCTGAATGCTGATGTGGGTATAACCCAAAAATATTTCTTTTTCCCAATTAGGTATATTGCTTCTGTCTTTTCCGCGGCTAGCCGTAGATAATGTTCTTCCATCCATCGTTCTATGAGCTGGAGGGAGTCGTTAGCCTTGTTCTCTAGTTCCACCTCTGTCCGGGCTCTGATTATGAGAGCTAGGTCATCTGCATATGCTATGGTCTTTACCCCCCTCCGATAGACCCGTTATTTGCCGAACGCTGTCGTAGGCTAGATTCCATAGTGTCTGACCGAGGACCGATCCCTGCGGGACTCCTGCTGTGACCGTATATCTTGTCCCATCCGCTATTAGTCTTCTGTTCTCTAAGTATGAACTGATGATCCTGCGCAAATACGTAGAGATGTTCTTTTCTTCCAGTGCTTTCATCAGTTTTCCCCAGTTCATGCTATTAAAAGCATTTCTAACATCCAGTAGAATTAGCGACACGAAGTTCAGTGTGCTTCTCATCTCCTCCCTCGCTATCCCGAGGACCTTGTCCACAGCTGTCAACGTCGAACGATGTTTCCTGAAGCCATATTGCGTCTCTGGTAGTGCCTCTTTATATTCAATCTCCTATTTAAACCAGTCAGTTAGTAGTCAAGCTAACATAAAACAACTTACGCATATTTCGCATGATTGGCACAGAGATCGCTTTTCATTATTTTTGCGTGGTCAAGCTTTGTTTTCATTTGCTCTATTTACATATTATTAAATTGTACTCAAATCCGGATTCGATTATATAGCATATTTGGAAAGGGCACTCTAATACCATTCCTATAATTCTTATAATAGCATGCTACGGGTACTACTACATATTACAGTGACATAGTTTGAACGTGTAATGGGGCAACATTTACTATCTTATCCAACTGAGCGACTATTCTTTACTATACTTGTGAATGTGTCATATGTGTGTTTATGCCTCTCCGTAGCCGAATATTTTCATTTTATTCAGATACTATGCTAAAAGGCCCACAGACCAAGTCCAGTCGAAAGTTTCGTCCATCAAAAGTTTCTTTTTCTGGCTTGTCGTGGAAAATGTCGCACTGCTCTTCACGTGACCCCACAAACTCAAGGGGCATCAGTAGGCCATTCACATCTCTCTTTGTCCAGTAGTGTCGTGCCCCAGCCTGTTTAAACCTTTAATTGATTGCCTCGGTATGACCTTCATTAACAGTAAGTATTTTGTGCGACACTTGTAAAGCGTTATTATAATTGATAGTTCACTTCAATAGCCGGCTTTTACGGTAATTAAGCGCTGCTCCAAATGCGGCAGTCTGCTTGTTTGCAAAATCAGGGGAAAAACGGGACGGAATATAGACGCATGTAACACACGCACCATATAGGTAGTGCATTTAGCATGACATAGTGCTATAGAAATGGTCTTAGGGTGCTGCAAGTGTCTGACACAGTTCCATTCGCTTTTTATCCCGGAAATTTACCTATCTCCCAATATCTTAAAATATGTAAAATAAAAACTTCGCCTTTTTTTAAAAAGACTTTTTTAACCGATCTAAAATCCGCAAAAATACTATATTTTTTTCGTCTACTAGCAGTTTTTCATTTATGTACCTGAACCAAAAGCCGCAAAGTGTGCGATTTTATGCGAAAAACAAAAAAATTCCAGCTCATGGTTAAATTAAGAAGGTACTTTGATAACTATTTAAAGAAAAAAAGAGTTTTCTGACAGTAAAATGATCGGAGATTCGCTTCACGAGTGGCTGACCTCGCGTTGTTTAAAATGTCTGAGAGACGTTCCGTAAATGCTTGTAATGATCATTTTTGCAACAACCTAACCGCTTACTCTATTTTACGTAACATCCTGACAATGTGATACTTCTATCCCCCTCCTCCCACCCCCCTCGTATATTTCTTGTAACATTTTAATATGTTCTGCGGACAAACTAGCCGAACGTCGCACCGCAAAATATAATATTTGCCATAAGCTGTACGAAGCTTAAGTATTTGTCGTAACTTTTTACCTTCTCCTTACTTTACTTCTTCTAACTAATCTATTTATCCCCTTTCACCAGAACGTCCTTTACACGACTCGTATTAAACAGCTCCTCCAATCAATTTTTAAGACGCTCTTCAATTGCCAACGGGTACGGCTATTTATATTATATTTGTGAGTGACCCGTAGGCGCGAGTCAGTAGTGAATATGATGGGTGCACAGAAAGCTTCTACAAAAATCCATTACACGACAACTTTCACAGTACTTGCCGCTCGCGGCAAAGGCTAATTTCAATAAAAATACATACATCTAAGGTGACCGACAATCGTCTGGCGTTCCGAACTTGGCTTCTTGGCCAAATAACGACCCTGAAATCGCACCTCAGATAACCTACTAGGTAAACCTGTTCGGAGATTCGTTGAACTTGGTTAACCTTTTTTAGCAATTCTTTCAGGCATAAAGTCTTCGCTGTACACGGCGCAGACTTCCGAAGCTGCTTTAAAAGCTTTCTATCTCGGTAAAAGAAATAGAGTAGACACCATAAAGTGAGTCGATTACGTTGAACGCTTTAGCTTTTAAACGAAGCTTGATTAAACCACTTACCTACAAATACAAACAAAAAAAGAAATTTAATTCAGTACAACCAAAACGTCAATGGAGTCGGCGAAATGCTGGAACAAGCTTCACTTGTGGAAGGCAATAAGATAATACTACTTTCATTCTATACTATTGAGCATCTTGGCAGAAATCAAAAAGTAGTCAACTTCTTTTTTAGCTACAACAATATTTGAAACAGTACATAATAACTATGGTGTTTGTTTGATATTAACAAAAAAAGGGCGATATCTAAAAAAAGGGCGAAGATATCGGATATCTTCGAGACAACTCTTGCGGTAAAATATATAGAATAAAGCAACATTTAATAAGTGAACTAATCCAGAGTATATTAAGGCTTCTGCGCGTGTCTGTGTGAATACGGGAGTTTGGTATTATGCGGTTAATCTAAGAAAAAGATTGTGGCTTCACTGATACAATCATCCAATCTAGCAAACGTTATCTTTTTTTTTTTGAAGAAAGATCAAGAGCCTCATTTACAAAATTCCTTCGGGCTTTTCTAAACTTATATGCATAAGAATCCCTTCTATTGAAATAATTTTTAATCGCTGGAAGGATCCCATATCGTTGAATATACCTATCACTCGCAAAAGTCTGCTGTAAATTATAATTCAAATTCGTTATTTGAAAAAACACTTTCTGTTCTGCCAGACTGGGCTACTTGACTACGAATTCTATTTAACCTTGATTTTGCTCTAGATACCTGGTTATGTCCAAAAATATTTTACCCAAAGTACCGCTTCCAAGAAAACAAAAAGTCATACTGCTGTGTATCTTGTAATAATGAGTTTCTATACAGGGACGGAACGAGGGAATGGGAAGTCCAAAGTTTGAGTTATATATTTTTTCCTAAAGTTATTAAATTACTCAACTATTTACGCAATTGTCTTAAAAGTTAGTTAAAAAACTTGATGCATGTGAAATGCAATGACCGAATTCAGAAAATATTGACTGAACCGACGGGCGGCAAGTAGAGAAGAGATCAGAATTAGAGAAATTTTAAACGACCACGAAATGAAAAA